CCCCCCCCAAACTGCCAGTCACTCGCTGTCCTTCTCACTGGCCGACGGCACGAGTGTTTGCTCTTCACGACCGTCCTCAAAACTGTCCTCATCCTCATCATCCTTCTTGTCTGGCCAAATGAGGCGGACCTTTTTCGCGAGGTCCTCGTAGATGGACATCGCAAAGTTGCCCATGATGGACCGCTCTTCGGGGGGCGGGAGGTCCTCATAGACCTCACGGAAGGCCGCACCCGGCAGGGCGAAGAAGCGCTCGGGGTTGACCTCATCGGCCGTCGCCTCGCTCAACTCACGCTCCTCGTCTGCCTTGAGCTGTGACGGGGTGCGCATGAGCGGCGCGCCGCTGCACGACTTGGTCGCGATGATCATGTAGGACGTTCCTTTATGATGTTACGCACAACACAACACAAGACACCACAACGCAGCAGCACGTCCGCCCCACTCGTGGATCCTTCTCTCTCTCTCTCTCTCTCTCTCCCTGTGTACCTGCGTGTCTCCTCTCCACCTCAGTGACATCAAGGCCCGCCAGTTTCACGATGTGGTCGATCTTCCTGCAAAGATACAGACACATTTAGTTTGCCAAGCAATACTAGCGTCTGTCTGTCTGTCATGTGTGCGTGCCTGTTGTGATAGCATCCGTATTTGTGGACGTGGTGGACAAGGTTGGACCTCAGCCACCAGTTGATGGCATTGCCCGTGCCAGCACCGTGCTCCAGCAGGAGCATCTTCCCCGACGGCTTCATCACCTGCACGAGTAGCGCGACACAAAAACCTGTGCTCAGACGTCTGTCTGCCTTGCCGTGTTCTGTTTGCACCCTCCCGTACCCTGGCCATTTCGTTGATTGTCTCGACAGGCTTCTCGTAGGAGCAGATGCCTGCAGTAAAGGCGACAGACAGGTCCATTTCACTGGGCCAGCTCTCACCCACGCGCTCATTCCTTTCCCTCGGCTGACCGAATGTGTCGACGACCGTGTCGAAGGTGTCATCGCCAAAGTCGAGTTTGAGAGAGTTCGAGGCGACGAAGCGGGACGGGATCGGGTCGAGGAACTCTGATCGGTGCACAGACAGACAGACAGACAGCAGATGAAAGAGAGAAAAGGGCTTCAGATCAGACACAGCTAGAGCAGCGCTGTGCGAGAATGTGTACTCTTCTTTGTCGATGCGACTTTGAGCATTTTGCGGCTGAAGTCGGTGGCCTTCCAGGCAACCACGCGCATGACCCCATCGACACAACAAACGCACCGTCAGCCCTCCCACTTCGTGTGTTGCAGTGTCAGCTTACGACAACGGATTTGACTTTGGCTGTGTTGTAGAAGGCGAAATTGCGACCAGTTCCTGATGGTGGGTGGGGCAGCAGAAGACTTTGCATGCTGTCGTCCTCCCCCCTCCCCCGGTTGTGTGCGTACCGACGGCCGTCTCGAGTACGTGCCCCTCGGCCCTTTCGCACATGCTTCTGCGCCACCGGCCGATGCCCATAAACTGCGAGTACGCAAGGCAGAGAGCGGACAACCGCAGTGATCGCGTGGTGCTGCATCGCATCGTCAGATAGTCAGTCCATCCCTTCCCCTTACGAATTCATCGGTCCTGACGTCCTTGTCCCACCGATGGGCCTTCTTGTCAAACGTCTCGCGCCGGGACGTTTCTGACAGATCAACACGCCAGAGGGTCAGTCAGTGTGTGATTTGTTTGTGTTGGCTCACGAACCGTCTGGCAGCTGCCTTTTGTCAGGTTTTCTTGAGATGAGCCAGCCGCCCGCCAGAGCCCCTCCGAAGGTGAGGAACATGGAACTGGCGAACAGCGGCAGCAGAGGATGAGCCTTGCTTGCGTCCATGGGACTAAATAAAGGTGGACAGCTCCTCAGCGGCTTCCACTCGCAAGAAGGCGAGTGTCGCGAGATCTACCGATCATCGCTGCCTTGCGACGGATTGTCGTCGCTCGACGACGCCCCTTGGCGGAGATCACGCGCCGATCGATCCTTCTCAAAAAATCGTTTCATGCATGCCCTCCCCATCACACCCCTGAGATGAATGGAAGTGTTGTTTAGCTGTGTCTGTCTACAAACACTCGCCTGGAGGAGCTCCGTTCACCATCTTGGCATTGGCTCTGGGAGACAGTTCACCCGGCGACACATCATGGATGCTGCATTCCCGTCGCTGAAGAGTCGATTCAGGGGGGCTCTCGGCGGTGTGCTCGCTGGCGACTGCCTGGGAAGCATATTCGTAAGACAAGAGACATCGACGTGGAATTGACTGTCTGCGTGTCGTCGTTTTGTTTGTCTTGTCGCAGGAAGGCCCTTATTGGAACAGCCAGGTGCCTGCCAGCGAGATAACAGGCCACTTCAGGTGAGTCATTTCAGCGCAATGTTGAGATTTCTCGCTTATGCATGTCTGTTGGTCAGTGAGGTCCAGCAGATGGCACTCAGCAAGCAGGAGTTTCTGCAGTTCACCGACGACACGGCCATGTCCCTCTCTGTGGCCGCCTCACTGGCAACGAAACGGGCCTTCGATGGCCCGGACATGGCCACGCGATTCGTGACCGAGTACTACAGAGAGAACTGGCGAGGGTATAGCGAATGAAATGACTCAAGACAACTGACTGTCGATGAATTGGTCTCTCCGTTCAGGTACGGAGGCAACGTCGTCACCGTCTTTGAGAGGTTGCGTGAGCGTGGCTTCCGCCCTGAGGCACCATACGCAACCCGCTCGACCGCTAGCCGCAACCACGACATTGACGACGCCACCGCCAATGCAGCAAACGACGGGACCACCCAGCACAACAACATCCCTGAGTGGGAGATACCTGCGTCGGAGCAGTTCAACGGCACCGGCAGCAAGGGGAACGGCGGCGGGATGAGGGCGGCACCGGTGGGTCTGTTCGGCTATCACAGCGTGGACGAGACGGTGCGGGTGGCCGTCAGTCAGGCGCGCATCACCCACACGCACCCCGAGGGAGTCGCTGGGTCCGTCCTCCAGAGCCTCGCCGTGCGCAAGGCGCTGCGCATGCCCGTTGGTGAGCTGAATCCCTTGAGGTTCGTTGATGAGATCAAGGAGGAGATGAGGGAATTCGAGACGTCGCTGCAGCGGCAACAAGACAGCAGTGGCTACGATGCGCCAAACAATCAGGGCCAGCCGCAGCAAGGCAGCGGTATCATGGAATGCCTAGACGCAGTCAAGGACATGCTGCGTGAGGGCCAGGAGAGGCTCGGTGACCAGCGGGACACGGACTTCGTCAGTCGCGTGTGTGAGGTGTTGGGCAGTGACGTGACGGCTTCCCGGTCGGTGCCCACAGCCCTATTCTGTTTTCTCTACATCGTGGGCGTCAAGGCCGGCAGCTTTGCGGACGTGGTGGCCTTCAGTATCAGCTTGGGCGGCGACACCGACACTATAGCCAGCATGGCGGCAAGTCTTGCTGGTGCCTACATGGGGGCTGAGGCGATTCCTGAGGCATGGCAGAGGGCGTGCGAGGGATGGCGAGAGATGATGCAGATGGCTGACGCCTTGTATGGACTAAGTGGTGCACCTGTGAGTGAGTGAGGCAATGGAGCAAGACAGACTGTGCCAGTCGATGTGTCTGCCTGCCTCTCTGTCGATACGGTTTTGAGTGCGTCCTCGACACTGGATGGATGGATGACAATTGATGAATGCACACCTTTCTGCAATCAATCACGTTAAATTCAGTGTCCGCCACCTCTTGTTGTGTGTGCCGATACATACCATCATGCACTACATCGACTCATCCAATCAACGTGCCAAATCGGTCCTACGACGCTCTCCCTGTGACGGTCCTTCGTTTTCCATTTCCCCTCTATCCTATCTTATCTTTGCCTTGTGTCCCTCTTCTTTGCCTCCTTGTGTTGCCGCTGCATCCTCCCCGTCCCTTCGCTACACGTTCTTCCACACTCTCCAAGCGAACACCCCAATAACCGCAATCAGTTGCGCAACCAGGGCGATCATGATGGGCACCTTGTCCTTGAGCTCCTCCCTCATCAGCTGCATCGCCCTGGGGTCAACAAAGAACGCATCCTTGCCCATTACTGCCTTCAACAGCTTCTCCTGCTCCTCGGTCGGTGAGGATGCCGCCGCAGACGCATCCGATGAATGAGGGGGCTGGCTGTCAGGGTCGTCTGCTGTCACGTCGTGCTGTGACTCTGTCCCGCTGCTGGTGGCGCCTGCTGCATCTGGAGGGCTGTCTGTTGCATTTGCGAAGGCTGTTCTTCTTGTGGAAGCCACGAACGATGGAAAGCGCCACGCTACAGTGCGGGCAAAACGCGCATAGCGGTGCCGTATCGTGTCAGTGTTCTCCATGCCAGAGCACAGATCTGCAAAAACGAACCGTTTCACGGCGAGAGAGCCGTGAAACTGCTGGTGGCGAGCCCGAACTCTCGCGCCTTTGCCTGTATGCGAATACGTTGCCGACTCTAGATCAGATCTGCTGGTCGGCCATGCTTCTATGAAAGCAAATTCCTTCGAACTGAAGCCGTGATGGAGAAGTATCGTCAGTTTGCTGATCCCGGCACCGGCGTCAACCCGTTCGTTCCCACGTGGACGCACTACAAGCCCTCACGCGTCGCCAAGGCCTTGAAGCTCCTCATCGCCTCCCCCATCGCCATCCTGCGGCTCGCCAACCTGCTCGTCTTGGCTCTCCTGGTGGCTCTATCCTCTGCAGTCGTCTATCTGGTGCCTATAGGGGTATTGCAGTACTGGCTGGGGTGGCTGGTGATATCTTCCGGCTGCAGTGTGGCGATGCGCATGGTGGGGCTCTTCTGGATCAGCGAAACCGCTGCAGGTCTGTTCCAAGGCAGTCATTTGGTTGGCTGCTTGCAATGTCGTTCTGTTCTGTTCTGTTCTGTTCGGTTCTGTTCTGTTGTGCCATGTCAGACCACCGTCGGTTGAAGCTGCGGCCTCCGAAGGATGAAGGCCCTCCCCCTTTCTCCCTCCCTCGCGCCACGCACGGCACTCTCGTGCTGGCCAACCACACGTCCTTCATCGACGTGCTGTACCTCACCATGCGCATCAACCCCTCCTATGCCATCACTCATGCCGACGACACTCTGTCACTCGTTGGCTGCTTCACGGCCCTCAGATGGGCTATGGCGACCCATCATAGTGCCAAGAGTGGTCCCTACACTTCAGTCAAGGACGTTTGCGAGGCTGCGAGGAGGCGCGGCTATGGGCCAGTGGTGCTGTTTCCCGAGGGCGGGCGCAGCAATGGGACGGTTGTGCTGCCGTGGCGCACCAAAGTGTTCGATCGATGTGGGGACGACTGGCTGGCGAAGGACACCATGCTGGTGTGCCTCGAGTATCCCAAACAGCCCACGCTCTTCTCCGCCTACACGCCCCCACACACGGTAAGACAGACAAAAGAAGAAGGGATACCCTTCATCCGCATGTCTGTGCTATGCAGGTCAACTCGCCTTTGTGGCACACGGTGCGGCTGTGTCTGCAGCTCTACCACTCGCTTTCGGTGACGGCCGTGTCGCGAGAGGACGTTTCGACGGCCCTCGCCAACAGGCCCTTGGTGGAGCAGACCGAGCTGCTGCGGACCCTGTCTGTGCGCATGTTGGTTGGCGGGACGGCCGTCGAAGTGCCCGCCAGCACTCTGCCAGCGTTTGTCGAGTACTGGAACAGCACCCAGAAGAGACAATATGTGAAGAAGGGGGACAGACAGGGCGACAGGAAGAGGAGGTGATGGTAACCGATAATTGGACGGCTGAATGACTTGACGAGATAGGAGGATGTAGGCATATCACGGTGTGACGATTTAGAGTCGGTGCCTTCCTCCCTAGCAGGCTTTTTTGGGGTCGAGTATGGCATCTTCTAGCAGCACCTCAGGCGTTTGTTTGACCTCTCGGGGGTCCTCCTGTCGCCTAGGTGTCTGTCTCGGTCCCAGCCTAAAGATTCATGAGAACAGACGGAGGAACGAGACAGAATATATATATATTTTTTCTTTTAAAAGCCGCCCAGCCTTCCTCAGTCACTTATCAGCGCAGCCCAGTTGGCCATGGCTGGACGCTCATCAAAACACTTGGCATTCACAATCGTATGCGTCCGTGACTGATTTGTATGTGCAATCGTGTGCATACATCGTCCTCATTCATCCACTTCACTGAGGGAGGATGCGGAATAATAATTGAGCGCTAACGGCAAAAAGAAGCACAGAGAGAGGAGACGCTGAGTGGCAGAATCCGAAGCAAAGAAGCCGCTTTGTTTGTCCTGAAGAGTCCCCTGCGAAAGAGAGCAGACCAGGGCGCTGTGTACGTGCCGCGTGATGATGCTGAAGCAAGACCAGCACGGCCCGCAGTCCGAGGACTCAGCCAACGAAGGCAATGACGGCAAGGGAGTATCCCCCGGCCTTGCCCCCGGCCCATACGGCTTTCTGCGCCGTTGTCTGAAACCGATTGAGTACGAGAAAGCAGACCCAGTGATTTTCGTCGTCTGTGGGCTCTATCTGGTGGCTCAGTTGGCTGACGAAACAGAGGAATGGGAAAGCTACTCTGCGGGACTCCTTTTCGTTGGCCTCCTTTTGGTGTATGGGATTTCCAAGAACCCGATAATCTTCTGTGTGTCCCTCCTAGCCTACATGACCGAGCAGGCGCCTTCATGGCCCGACATGTCCAACCACGGCAACATCGAGATGATCATAGACGGCTACATCCTATTGTGCGTGCTGTTGAGACTATTGCGGCCAGACAAACGAAGACGGGGCTGGAGGGACGTTGCGGCCGAGATCGAGGAAGCTCTCAAAGAGAGCGTGATACCCGTTATGCCGCATCTCTTCTCGCTCATCTACCTCTTCGCTGGCTTTCACAAGTTGAACTGGGACTTTTTCTCGACGCCTCACGGCTGCGCCTTCTCGTTCACGCAGCGGATATCGAGGGCCTGGGGGATGCAAATCAACCCTGGCCCCTCGCTGAATCTGGTTCTGGGGGTGCTTGTGATTGTATGGGAGGCCGGCGGTGCGTTTATGGTGTGGTCCAAGAACATCAGGCCATACATACTGGCATTCGTTCTCTTCATGCACATGAAGGTACAGAAGACAGATAGGGCGTTCTCTCTCATCCGTCCGCTGTGCTGTGTGTACTCTCTGTGGCGGTTCGTGTCCCCCCTGTCAGCTGTCGATGGCGGTGTTTGTGGACTTCAGCGCCTTAGTCAACGTGTTTGTCTTCATCTTCGTGTCCCTGTCGCTGCCCCGTGACGTGCTGCTGTCACACTCTCTCGTCGCCCGATTTGAGACATACATGTGGATCAACGTGATTGCGGCACTCGACATCGGCCTTGTCTTCTGGCTGGGCGGCTATGACGACGTCTTCCACCCCATACAGGCACGGACAGACCACCACTAGTCGCGTGACCACCCCAACTTTTCTCTTTCGTCTCTCTTCTCCTTTGCCGTGCAGGCTCATGCATTTATCGTTTCGACGGCATATTTCTTCTTCCCTTTGCTGAAGGACATGATGCGCGTCTCGAAAGCCACCTTCACGGGCTTCATTGAGGCCTCCAAACACGTCAGAGTTGGCGGGTGGCTGCTTGCCATTTTGTTTATGCTCTTCTTCTCCTCGCCGTACCTCGGGCTGCGGACATGTGGTGTGGCGACCGTAAGCCCACACAGCTGCGCACACACATGGACACAACTAACGCCGCCAGACAGAGAGACAGAAGCACCAGCGTAGATCTTCCTGTGTGCCATTCATTGTCTGTGTCTGTCCAGATGTTTAGTAACTTGAGGACAGAGGGTTTGAACTCCAACCACATGCTATTAGGGTCGAATCCCCTGAAGATCTTCAGTTATCAAGAGGACCTGGTCACGTTCGACTCGTGTGGGAAGGACGTGGTCACGCGGAGCCACCTCGCCGGCAGAGCTGTGCCTCTGGTGGAGGTGCAGAAACTTGTGGACTACCTCTCGGCACCCGACAATCGCACTGTGACTGCATGGGCGCGCTTCACCTACAAGAACGAGACTGTGGAGACAGAAGACATCCGCACCGTCGACGTGTTTCGGCAGGGAAAGTGGTGGGAGAAGCTGACGATGGAGTTCAGATCGATTCCCGCCGATTCCAGGGCGGTCAATAAGTGCAGTTGGTAGAGAAGGCTTGGGGAATGATTGATGTTTGGTTGGCCCGTGGGTGGGTGTCTGTCCATTGGGTATGTACCTACACAGACAGACACAGATGTGCATACACTTACGTGCCCGCCCGTGTGTGTTTTGCTCAGCATTGATTTAGTGGGTGTGGGGGGTAGCCCTCAGCAAGGCCGCCAGGGCCGAGGAGATCGCCTTGCCGTCGCCCACCCGTAACAGACCTCAAAGGGAGTTCATGTAGATGATGTGTGTATGCGTGATGTGTCAGACGGGTTATTCTACTTCAGAGTTTCTTCTCGCGCATGCTACTAAGAATTTCCTCTCGTCAACGTACAGTATTAGAAGAAACTGCATGTCACAATGACAGTCAATAACCTACTTGCCGAAACATACATAAGCTACCCCGCAGAACACTGAGGAGAAACAGAGCAGGAACAAGCCTCTCTATCAGACCAGGCACACATTGTATGTATGTATGTACACAGTGTCTGTCTGTCTGACGGGGAAGCGTCAGCTCTCACACTCTGGCCCTACTCACTCTCACTTACGTATACCCACTCCCTTGCGCTCCTCCCCGCTCGCTACATGCCCTCTGCCTTTCTCCTCCTCAGAACGGCACTCGTTGATCCGGCTGCTGACTGATGGTCACTGCCTGCGGCCGCTGCACTCGTTGATCCGCCGCTTGTTGACCCGGCACTCGCTGATTGGGTACTCGCCGATTCCGCACTTGATTGGGCACCCGTCAGGTAGGATGATGACCTAGTGCTGCAGGCAGAGATGGTCGACGCTGATGAGGAACCGAACGATGAGAACAACGAGGCAAGCACTCGCCCGAACCTGATCGACAAAAGCATCACAGGCAGCCAAAGACGATGAGAAATGAAGTGGACCGCTCTCTCATCCCCTCTGTCTTGTCTGTTTGCCCATCGTGTCTGTCTGCCGTGACCACACACCAGCATGGTCGACTGGCAGTCCGTTGAAGACGTTCGTGGAGCTCACGAAGCCCTCTCTTGATCTCCCGTTTTGATATCTCCGTCAGCTTTCCCTCGCTGTCCCGGTCTGCCGCCACAACGATGACCATGACATCTCGATACCCAAGGCCGTTGTGGGTGCCCTTGTAGGAAAGGATGTCGGCGAGGGGGATGTTGACGGCGTCACTGTCTGTACTCTGAATCTCCTGGACAATAGTCACGAACTGCCGCTCCATCTCACGGTCCAGAGGCTCCACCACAAGCGTCGTCATCTCCGGTGTTCCTTTTTGGGTGTCTTTTATTCCGAGTAAGGGGCACCCACTGCGTGGGCACCCCGGGCCGCGAATTGGGCGAGGGTCGAAAAAAGCGTGCGAAGCGGTGGTACAATTATGCGTCACAGAGACAAGCACAGCACGAGTGTTGACGAGAAGCACACCCACGCATGCAACAATGGCGAGAGCTTGAAAACATGCAGATCTCGAAGACAGACGTGGCGATAACACGCAGGTACTCAGAGGGCTGCAGTAAGAACACAAGACACGCCCTTGTTGAAGACGTGCTTCGCCAAGTATATCAATGCATCGCTGGATGCAATTGGATGTGAACCTATC